CCAGCTTCGGAGCCACCGGTTCCATTGAAAAATACAGCATTTCGTGCGTTCGCTATCTCTCCACAATGCATTTTGTATTGCGCCTGCCACGAAATCTGCACATGGAGGTGCACAAAGTGCTGTGCCTGCCACGAAATCTGCACATGGAGGTTCACAAAGTGCTGCACCTGCCACGAAATCTGCACATGGAGGTTCGCAAAGTGCTGTGCCTGCCACGAAATCTGCGCATGGATTTTTTCAAAGTGCTGCACCTGCCACGAAATCTGCACATGGAGGTTCACAAAGTGCTGCGCGGAGTATCTGGCGAGCTGGACGATGAGAACTGGCGACTTTGTAGTACAACTTTAGTACGCGGAGTATCTGTGGAGCTGGAAGCTGAGAACTGGCGACTTTCTAGTACAACTTTAGTACGCGGAGCAATCTGTAGCGCTGGAAGCTGAGAACTGGCGAGTTTCTATTACAACTCTAGTACGCGGAGCAATCTGTAGAGCTGGAAGCTGAGAACTGGCGACATTGTAGTACAACTTTAGTACGCGGAGTATCTGGCAAGCTGGACGATGAGAACTGGCGACTTCGTAGTACAACTTTAGTACGCGGAGTATCTGTGGAGCTGGAAGCTGAGAACTGGCGACTTCGTAGTACAACTTTAGTACGCGGAGCAATCTGTAGAGCTGGAAGCTGAGAACTGGCGACTTTCTAGTACAACTTTAGTACGCGGAGCAATCTGTAGAGCTGGAAGGTGAGAACGGGCGACTGTGTAGTACAACTTTAGTACGCGGGCGGAGCAATCTGTAGAGCTGGAACCTGAGAACTGGCGACTTTCTAGTACAACTTTAGTACGCGGAGCAATCTGTAGAGCTGGAAGCTGAGAACTGGCGACTTTCAAGTACAACTTTACGCGGAGCATCTGGGGAGCTGGAAGATGAGAACTGACCGGCGACTTTCTAGTACAACTTTAGCACGCGGAACAACCTGTGGAGCTGGAAGCTGAGAACTGGCCACTTTGTAGTACAAGTGTAGTACGCGGAGGAGTCATCTCTCGCTGCTGAGTCAGCTCTCGCTGCTGTGAGTCATCTCTCGCTGCTCAATTATCTCTCGCTGCTGAGTCAGCTCTCGCTATAGCCATCTCTCGCTGCTGAGTCATCTCTCGCGGCGTGCAGGTTTGGCACAGTTCATACTGATAGTATTTGGTTGCATTTATGCAGGACAGGACACTCAACTGCTGGTTAATACACCACTCATCATACACCACTCAGCATACACCACTCATCATACACCACTCGTCATACACCACTCATCATACACCACTCGTCATACACCCCTCTTGTCGTGTCAAAAATACAACCCAGTACGCTGTTGTGAGCTGCTGATCCTGCAGGGGGCACACACCTTACAAACGTGGAATCCCGTGGGTCAAAAGTCCGGACCGCGTGCGTTTGACTGGAGGACGCGCATGTTGGAGAGAACGTGGACACTCCTATAGGTCAATTTGTTCTTATAGGAAACTTCCGCCGCCGGCTTGCCCGGGAACTACTTGTATAAAGTAACATCCAAACTTTGGGGATTCGTGGCTAGAGATCACTAGATGTCTCTAGAGCCTGGAGCTGGCAACGCGGAAAACCTCGCGATCCGAGCAACCACCATTCCGATTCCCCCCTCATGTAATCAGTTAACTTCGTTGTGCAAGACACCGGTCATCCATGATATCCATGGGGCAAGGCTTACATGGAGAGTTGAGAGGTCCTCAGAATCTGGTACCTAGTTGGTGTCTGTAATTTAAGCCATGCCTTTTTGTTTATAATGTTTCTTTCTAAAACACAAAAGGCTCTCAAAAATGGAAAAGACTCCACCACCTGCTGCTGTGACCCAAAAATTCCCGTTTGACACCCGCTGCTGGTGCAGATGGAGCCCCAGGGCAGTGACCACAGATCGCACCACATCAGGGCACTGAAGAAGCCCCTACACCTCAAGTTACTACACTCTTTTCCAAACACATGGGCCTTTGGTTAAATGGATGTCAGCCGGGCCCGACCATGAAATCCCAATACCAAACAGGGTGTTTTCCATGTTAGTGAGTCAGAGGGTACTCTTTTGAGGGTCCTAAGAAAATTTCCTTTTTGAATATCCAGATCTGCTGAGATGGAAACTGCGGGTCGGTGGAATAAAGAAATTGGGCCAACCATTTCTTCTCCATCGGTGTGACCCCCATTTCATTAGCCCAGGCCTTGCCAAGTGTCCATATGAAAAACGCTTGTAGGACACCTGATCCACTTCCCATGGCAGCAAACGTCCATGGACACCCCGACCCCAACCTCGCAACTCCCCCAACCCGCGAGGTCAACCTCTACTGTCCGAGCCAAAACGTGGGCGCATTTGAACTCTCTGTGTCGGTCCCATGGTTTTTTCATGTTTTTTCTATATCCAGTGAGTTCCTTTCCTTTCATATCGATATGGTACGGTAAAGAGAAGGCAGTACTCAAATGGGAGGATCAATGGATCATAATAGATCTCATCCTAAGGACCCTTGGACTAGGCGGAGCTGTGACTCCAAGTCTTACTGTATGTCCCCCTGAGACCTGGAGATCACATCGCAAACATCACTCGTCCAAAACAAAACCCAAACGAAAGCAGGCTTCGGCATGCTTCGGCCTTTTCCCATGTCCTCCAGGTAGTGAAGTGCTTTCTGAGAATCAAGACTTAAGACCACGAAAAACGATGTGTTTCACACAAACATACTTTTGAGTTTCTCCGCAGACCCCTCTTCTGGAGCAAGACTGGCGAGAATGTGCCTATTTTCCTTCTCCATATTCTCCAAACCATGTTGACAAATTACACCCTTCACCTTCCCACTCACCTGCGCGACGGAAAACACAGGCACCTCGCAGAGAGCGTGAAAGCGTACGGTCCAGTTCCACCTGGCGTTCGTGCGTGATCTCCGGCGATCCCGTTCACCTGGGATCGACCACGACGGGTCTGTGCTTTCGTCGTCGTCCGGGACCCTTCGACGCTTCGGTGTGGTGAGCCGGGAAACCCCTGTGGTGTCGACCCCCTGGTATCGACCCTTGGCCGAAATACCAAACGGAGAAAATCCCAAACAGGAACAGCGGAGGAGTGCTGTTTCGAACGAAATCCCAAACACACGCAAAGATGTTTCACAGGTCCCTCGTCACCAGGTAAGTGGATAGACGTCAACATGTTTCCTCCGTTCAAATTCATTGATGTTCAAAGTAAGGTCAAGCTGTTGTTATATAAACGTGCAAACAGCCTTTGTTGTGTGCAAAAAAAACTTGAGGACAGTGGGGACGAAAGCGAGGGGTGTGGAAGGATCAAGGGGACGCGGAGGGAGGGCAGCAACGCAACGCTTTTGTGCCACGAGCGCAAAATGTTGTTGGCTCAGTCAACCGAACACTAAAAAAAGCCTCGACGTTCATATTGTCTTTTCGAGGGATTTGGTATGCTTTCTCACAAGGACGAGGGAGGAGTCGAACAGATTCTTTCAATTCACTTTACGGGGGGGGGGGGGCCGCACCCCCCCTTAGACGTTTCAATCTGCAATTGAAATATCAATTCCTTTGCGAGGGGGGTGGTTATTGAAAGAATCAATAAAAAGGGAGGGGGGGGCCCCCCTCGGCTGACCCCTCCCTTTAATTGAAAGAATCAATTAGTTCACTGAACCTTTCAGTTTTGAGCCTCACCATATTTCGTAAACAACAACTTCCGCTGAGCTCCTTCTGAGCTCGCTTTCGTGATAAATCACGAAACCAGCACAAGCATGTCCACGATGGATAATTACACGGAAATCTTCAACAAGTTGTGCAATCTGAGGTTATGAGGATGATCCGAGTCATCAACACTGGCAGCGATCTTGTTGAAAGTGAACCAAAGTGTGACCGCATGTGACTCACACGTCACGAAAAGATTCAATTTGGATGTAAAACACCTGGTCCCCTAATGAATGAAGGTCGTCTTTGTATGGGGGGTCCCAGAAAAAGACGGATGGATACATGCATCGGCCTTTTCCACATGTGAAACCCCAGGCACCAAGAGTAGTTTTCCAAGGCCCCCGCCGAGATATCACCGCTCTCCTCCATGCCTAGCAACCGGACTGCGGCGAATTCTCCAGCCAAAGAGCCAATCAAACTACAGTACCCTGAGAAGGTTTGAAGATTACAGTCTTTATATATATATATATAAAGAAAGGAGGAGCGGCATGGAGCGGCGTTCTGCCAAGAAGGGTAGTGGGATGAAGTGGGATAGCTGTAGTGGGCAGGTCAAAACTTTCAGCAAACCTCACCACAAACCATTGGAAATAGCTCGCACTAGACCTGTGGTGACTCGTGCACAATCAAGCCACAACCATCTACAATTTGGCAGGGGTCCAAACAAGTCCTCACAGAATCTAAAGAATTCGTCTCCATCCAAATGATCTGCCCTTCTTCATGGTCCGAAGTGGCCCAAAAATCGAACCTCAAGACCTGCTGCTCTACTAGATCAACACACTTGCCAATGAATTCTGGGTCATTCCATGTCGTTCTGTCCACTTGAATTCGGGTCGGCTCTTCTCGGCACGGTCGGCCTCGCACGCTCCGCGCTCGCCGCAGGCTCGCGGCCAACGGCGGGGCCTGGGAAGCGCAGCTCCGGGAAGAACCGAAGTGATGAGCGGACACCCATCCACTTGGGTTCTGAGTAGGTGAACCGGCATAACCTTGCTATTTCTGACGTCTATACCCCCAAAACTCACCTCTCCGACTCCTTCAAGCTCTCACCACTCACCACCGCTCCGTTGTCCAAAACCCCTGGGTTCCCCGGTCGGCACTCCGTAGGCCCCAGTCGTCACAGCTGCGGGTCACAAGATCCGTCTCTGTGGTCGCGGTCGCTGTGAGGTCCTCCGACGGAGCGAGCGTGGTGTCTACCGTGGACTGCAGGGTAGAGACCTTCCTAGAGACCTCTTTGGGGAGCATGAGAAATAGATGTGGTTATTTTTAATATGTACAATTCCCAAATGCAGAACAAACACCTCTCACTGGAGGAGATCTTTCTGAGACACACAGACACCGACCCAATGAAATGAGCTGTCACTCGAAGATGTATTCTTTGGTGCTCCGGCAAGTGTTCTGGCTGTTTGCCCAAGGGCACGAGTTGTTTCAAGAATACAGACACCTATTATAATAGTTGCAGATAATAAGTAAGAAAATGACTCCCTCAGTTTCCCTGGACAATAAAGGTTCGCCGTTTTCCACCTGTGCGTTTTTAGTGGTGGAAACCAATCTCCCAAAAAGGCTAAAGACTATCCACTGACAACTTGACCAAGAATTGCTTGACAATGGAAATCAACAATTGTAATCCTATAACTGCCTCACAAATATGTAGTAACAAGGGCATCGCTACTAGTAGTAAAGGGCATTACTAAGTTCGGAGCAAGGACGCTACTAGGGGCGCTCCTGGCATTACTACTCGTAACATCTATATAGTAGCCATTTAGACTTGGTGGTAGGTCCCTAGAGGCCCTAGAACCAACGTCGGTGAAAACGAGTAGCTTCTAGCTACTAATCGCTACTAATTATAGAGTAGTACTGCCAGAAGCTACTAGTATATAGCTTCTTGCTACTTTATTGTAGCGATGCCCTTTGTTCCTAGTAGCTTCTTGCTACTATTTCAACGTACCCTGAACCTGCGCCATCGTTTTCCTTTTTGGTTGTTCGTGCGTCGGTGGTTCCTGGCAAACCTTCACAGAAAGCCAGATGGAATACATGGAATCTGAGAAACGCAGAAGGTTGGAAACAAAATGAAACAAGACTCCGAAATTGTTTGCTTGTCTTGCTCAGAAGGACCGTAGAAATAGGCGATGAAGTCACGGTTTTCATATGCCAGCAACAAACCCAGTTGGATGCTGGTGTGGCCGATCTAGTGAGAAATCTTAGAAGTTCCAGTACTCTTCATGTAATTGCACATGCAAATCTTTACCAACCACAAACCCAGATTACACCTGGTTGGGCATTTCAATTGGCTCTGCTGGTGACTATTCCGGTTGGGTATACTTCCTTACAAATCCTACAAACTATCCTGGTTGTGTACTTACTCGGCTGTTTGGACGATGGATTCCATGGCGAGGACCGACCCACCCAGCCCGGGCGTCGCCGCCTCGGAGCCTGGACGTGCCGGCTTCGCTTTGAGCCTGCGAGTTGGATTGGTCCAACGGGGAGGGCGCAGGATGAACGGCCCAGGATTGTTGGTCCAACGGGTTGGATTTTTCGCTGCAAAGCTATTTTTAAGAAATTACTGTGTATATATACATATGTATGTACTGCATATATGCACTGTATATACAGTAGAGATGGATCATGATGGGAACAGAACAGATTGGGAGACAGGTTGGTTCAGAGGGCCGGACACTCACTTGCGCACCCAACTCACTTGCGCACTTTCATCACTACAAACAAGTACTGAGAAACATAGAATATCTTGCACTCACCTGCATCCTCGGGAGTGGGGGTTGTGGCCATCTGCACTACACTCAAGCACTAACAAGCAAAGAATATCTTACACTCACCCTTCTGTGAGTAGATTTCTGTGTTCTTTTGATTAGTAACCACGACTAGCGACTAGCTCATTGAACTGTGTAGTGAACCCTTCTTGCGGTTCGGACCAACTCATGCTCCCTACCAACTCATGCGCCCGAAGCTCACCGTTCCTGAACAAAGCTCTTAGACAAAAGCCCTGCTGGTTTTTGAAAACTGGTGTATCAGTGGGCGAGAACGCGCTAGTGCAACGGAAACTATACTCCAGCTGCAGATGTTTCCGCCTGTTTTGTAGCAAACAGAAACGTGATGAAAAGTGCACAAGCAAATAATTTCCAGTGCACAAGCGAGTGCTCGCCCGTTCAGAGCCGAGTTTCGCGGTCTTCCATCCTCTGAGGAGAAGGAGTGAGGAATTCGACAATGAAATCATGATCTTCTATTTTAACCCAAGCGCATCTTGAGTGAAATCGACCCAGGACCTGGAGTCGAAGTAAAACCCAAAAACAGTGAGGAAATTGTTTTTGGGAAAAGATGTCAAGGAAAAGGGGATCCCTTTAAGCTTCCCTCATGTAGGGGATTGTTCCAGCATTGCTTGGGGCTGAATTGTTGCAAAATCAGAGCTGTGATGTCCTCATGCCTGGCCTCAAAGCTCAACATGATGGGAAGAGGCATAGTATATAGTAGAGACACATGGCACTTAGTAGAAGTGAGATCCTCCAAGGTTGATCCGCCAAACACAAGTCATTGATGCTCATTTGTACAACAACAAGAACGCCTGCCAGGCAAAATATCAGTATGTACCCAATAGTTGGACCCTCCAAAGACCCCCTGGTAAAAGAAGATCTCAACTCCCAGGTCTCCCTGGTTATCATTTTTCACGGCTGAGACATCAGTGTTTCACTAGCAAAAAGAACACACCGTCTGGTGCACAAGCTTTCCGGGGCCCCGGCCTTAAATCTTTGAGGTGAGGGATCAAGGCCCTGTCACAGTGAAGACATGCTTCCCCCCCCCCCTGAGAGTGGTCTCTCGAGACCCCACACCCTGCCCGGCCATGCCCGGCCCAAAGCAGAACCACAGTGATCCCCTCCCCAACATGAAAAGATCGCCTACAATAGGCAGAATTTGAAGGGATTCACGAGGGTTGGACCAACTCAGAACTGCATTTTGAGGATGGTCAGTAGGTGGAGGCAGCTCGCGAATGGTGAATTCACTCACATGGTAATTCCAGTGGAAAGCCCTGTGGATAGTTGTCCACATCCCTTGTAAGCCTCAATCAAGGCCAAATATGCGCATCTTCGGGCATGCAAGAAAAGCAAGAGCTGAAAAGCAAAACTACAATGACAAAAATCAAACATATAGTCTAGTTTTAAAAAATATACTATATATGTAGACCCAGCATTTGTCTTGCTGAGTCATGTTCAATACAAGAAACTTGGATAAACCTGACTCAAATGATGAAAAAGACATTCAGTTTGCACCTTTTGGCCGCCAGATTTCGGAGCTTCGCTGAAACTTGATCCAACTACCATTTGATTGGGGCCCCTTCGTCCCAGCGGAACATACCGGAACACACATATGATTGGACCCAAATGGGTCTTCATCGCCCGAGCTGCGGGTGTACACGTGGGCATTCCATCTGCATGTTGGGCCGACGCACGGAGAGGCTGCTGGTCCTGACGCTGGAGACGCCAGACCAAACGGTGACCACATGAGGTGAGCGAGGACGTCGGTAACAGGAACGAACCGAAAGTTTGCTGCTTGAAGCCATGGTTTTTCAAAAAGACGGAGCAGCCTTTTCCATCAGTTTATACGGTTCCGTTTGGATTCGCTTTGGAGGCGCATATATTGTCGTTTCGCCGTTGGCGGCCTGAGAGCTCTGAAGCATTCATGGCTTGGTGATGTTGGCGTTCATCCAGTCCCAAGAACAAAGACTTCCAAGCAACGATGCGACCAAATCTACCAACAAACATACATAAAGTCAAAAACCACTCATGATACAATCCTTATTAATCCTTATATATGCAGATATTGTTTTATTACCATTCAAAGTCAGGCGTTCTAGACATGAACGCCCGAAAGAGCGGAAAAAATTGGACACTGGTCAGAGTCAGAGGCTTCATTAAATGAAGGCCGTTCGTGTCGAACGCAAGTGCCTCGGTGCCGCCAAGTCTCATCATATCCTTACCGATGTTCTGGATGATGCCAGGTGGCTGGCGCGGGCTCTGGCAAACAATCTCCTCAGCGAAAGCTGGGCGGATTGCTTTGCTTGTGGAATGTGGTCCAGCAAATTAGAACATCGAACAACCTCAGGGAGAGATTTACCTTTCCTAAGAGTGCCTTCATAGCTTGATCCTCTTGATTGCATCTACTATTCAACTCAATCAAATTCTGGTTACCCTGCATTTGCTGATGGGGGTCTAAGAGTGGTCATGCCAAACAAGCTTGACTGTTGCTGGGATCCGGCTTCTAATATGTTCCACTATATACGTGACATCCTTTCCGAGGGTTGTTGATTCAAACCAACCAGATTTGGAGCAAGTACCCAACATCATTGAAGCCCGGGCCATCGACTGCCAGGAGAAGAGGAAAGCTTGCCATGCGGAAGCCCGCGAAGTTGTAACCACAGGATTGCACCAACATGTGGGAATTGAAACCTGTGATATTGAAAGGTTTGATGGAAGCAACTTTGAATCAGGATTGATCTCTGCAGAGGTGGACAACTCAAGGGGGTAATATTCAATTAGACTTGTGGAAACCGAACATGTAGTGGCCTGTAATGGTCGTGCTCCTATTACGAATTGGTTGAAATCCTGATGTTTGAGCTTTTTCCGACCCAGCGGGTTGTTTTCCCCCTCCATCTCGTCCGTCTGAATCATTGCACAACCAGTGGCGGGTCGATCATGCAGCACATTGTCCAACCTTACAAGTTCCTGCGCACACATTTGAGGGTCCAGTTTTCAAGTTGTTCATATAAATCCTACTGTCATCTTGACTAGTTAATCTTGCTCAGGGGGTCCAAGAAACAATCAGAACTTCGACACTGCCAGCTACTACAAAATCAGGAGGGCTTTACTTCTGAAGTTCAATCATTTGCTGTCTGGACTCGAAGACTGGGACACCAGCCTCATGCTGGAACATACTCAAACTCCTGTTGATGGACAAGATCCTTAACCACTGACAGGAATCGACAAGGTACAGGACCCTGTGTATCACTAATCAAAGGTGGTGCAGGATCTTTCTCTCAAATTGTTTCTCTCTCTCTCTCTCTTGTTCACGGCATAAGATGCTTCAATCCACTCCCACAAAGAAGCCATGTCAAGTGGACCAATTTAACAGTTGCTGAGCTCTATCTCCCACTGCAGTTGGCCTTGCAGCACATCATGGATATTGAATTGACACCAGCAACCTACCCAAGAAATACAACAAGAACAAACAATAGCATAACGAGACACTCGTTTCCATTTCTCTGGTCTCTGTCGTCTACTTTTTCTCTGAATGACAACTAAGACCCAGGACAAACTCCACCATGAGTGTCATTCCATGGCGTTGTTCCAGCATCGGGCCTGGTTGGGGACCGCCTTGCCGGGAGCATCAGCCTGGGCAAGCTGCTGAGCCCGTGGAGGTGGCGTGTTCCACGTGACGGGGCAGCAGTTCCTACCAACCTCCGGGAAAAGAAGGGTCAGTTTCAGTCCCCAACCTGAGTGTTGTCTATACCTTTCACTAGGGATATTGGGCAGACAAACTACCACAAATAGTTATATTCGACAAAGAATTGACTAAATAAGTAGCTCAAAACATCTCAAAACAGTGTCCAAAACTAAGTGCTCCCAACTCCCAACCTCCCACACAGTACGCCAGGGATTCTTGCAAAACCCATCTCGCATTCATCGCCCCCAAGTCCCTTTTCGCCTCTTTGCCGTTTCGCGTCACCAGCGGCAGCTCTCACCGTCCAAGGGGCGCGGCTGCTCCGGGGTGCTCGTCCGTGGGATCGTGGCGTCGACGATGTGGGCAGTTGCAGACGCCATTGGAGGCGCTCCAAGTTCATCACCTCGTCGAATGGGTGTGGCCGCGGGGAGTAAGTGAGGCTGGACATGCGAGAAGTGAGGCTGCTAAGGGGGAGTAGATGACACAAAGAGGAATGGAAAGGAGCATCTACTCTGAACCTAGCCATTCACACTTCGTGCTCATGTGGGGCTTGTAGGTTCTCCGAAAGAAATGTTAAAGGAAGTGACAAGCTGACTGTGATTGCCACCCTGAAAGCAGTGATGTTTGTGTTACTTTTGGGGATAAGCCTATTGGAAAGCTGCGCACATCATTACCCACTCCAAAGTCCCGAAATGTGTTGGAGCGTGTACAAAATTGACCAAGAAAACTCTAAGCTCATTGCAAACTACAAACCCAGCGCAGAACTCACCAGGGTACTTGTCCCACATCCAACCCTGTCAAGACAGCTCTTTCCTTTTCCATCACACCGTGAAACCGCCGCTCATACCGCCTTCAACTGCTCCATGACCGGCATAGACACGACCCGGGCCTTGGCCGCAGGGCCACAAGTTCGAATGTGCGTCGGAGTCCAACTCCCTTCAACGATGGACAATTCCATTAAATTCATGTTTAAATCATGACATGGTTAATCAGTTTTCATCAACTGTATGGGATGGCTGGGGAGGAACATCAATCTGGTTTCCAGGAGGCCCTGACGTATTCGACCCGAAATCCTGAGAAAGGGAGGGGTCCAAAGACCAAGGTGTGGATAGAAAGGTAACTATCCTGAACAAACATGGTATAATGGCAGCTGTCTCTATCAGTTTCCAAATTTGCACTCACCAAAAGTAGTCATTTCACTCCATTGTGAGTGACCGTAGTTTGATTGCAACCACCGTAGTTTGTTTCACCAAAATCAATTCCCCATACACTGACATGTCGATCACATCGCCCCAATCAAAACACATCTTCCAAACCTGCACAGTTGACCACAACAATATATATATATATATACACATGTATATATATAATATATATATATAACTCTAATAATTCGAGGTTGGGTTGTTCACCAACCTAACACTTTCAATTAAGAATCCTTAGAAAGCAACACATGCAGCAAACCCCTGGGTTTCTTATTCTCTTTCTTGAATTCTTCCTTGACCCAAACCAACCTCAGTCTCAATGGTCCCCCAGGTGGGCGCAGTTCGTTCGGCGTCGAACGCTGCATCGTTGGGCGTCCCCGGACCAGTTCCGCGGCAGTGAGGCTGATCACCAAGGCCTCTGCTGAGTCCACGACCACCTTTGGCGTCGTGACAGGCGGCTGGGCGGTGGAAACAAGCAGCGGACTGAGTTGGATGGGAGTCAAAGTCAATGAACCATAGCAACTCATGAAGCTAGAAGTGATCGGATATGATCTGGATATCTTATTATGATTAGATCATATTGTTGGGACATGAGTCGGTTGCTTTGGAGGTGGAATGGAGTTTTGGGGAGTTAGTCATTGTCAACTATGTTCTCAACTGTTGTTGAATGGCGGGTTGCAGCTTTGTCTGATGGATTGGAGCGGGGGGACATCAGCTTCTACAAGGGGAACCATCCATGAAGTTCTACAGCGCCTCAATCTGTCAGTCGAATGTGTTCAACGTGTTCAAGTACTTCCAGACTCCAGACTCGAATCCCAAAGACGTTTCTTGCAAACCCCTTTTGAAAAGTCATGATTAAATCATAAACAAGAATAAACCACCACTTGGGATTTGAGCCAAGAAAAGTCTTCCACGTCCAAGGTGGACAGTAGAGTTGTTCTGGAAGAGGAATTCAGTGGACATCACATCCGAAACGACATGTTCCACACTTCCACGGCCAATGGTGTCAGGAACCTTCCGGTAGAAAGGGACCCATCTTGTGAGCACTTGGTAGCAGTGATTTGCAAACGTCCCGAGACAAGTACTACGCACCCATTTGCAAAAGATTTTATGCTGGCCACCTGATAAAAACGCCCTTGTTGGAAACGAAACACTCAGTGCTGACCATGCGCGGGCCCTAAGGGTGCCAAGCCCGGAGCCTTGCAATGCTTGGGGTTGAAACGCTTGCAAAAGAAAGACTGTTTGCCTCTTTTGACGCCCAAATCTGTTTGTTTGCGATCTAGTCTTGGATCCAGCGGCACACTTATCCCGGTACATCCCTTTGGCGTGATCGCATCATGCGAATGTGCTTCCAAGCGGCCGCAAACGGCTCCGGCTCGTCTGCCAGGATCGACGCAGCGTTCACCGCCTGCCCTGGCAGCAGAGTGCCAGCGCCTGGGTGCCGGTGTGGGACATGAGAACAAGAAACCAGTCGAAATTGTTCACTTTACCAGACATAATGACCACACAATTGAGATCTTGGGAGATCTTGCAAAGCATTAATTAGTGCGAAACGATGTCCACGCTCTCACAAGATGCACGAAAGTAACTTGAAGTAACAAAATGGTCCAAGGCAGCTAGCCCTGCCAAGGTTCAGAGACTGACAACTATCATTGTCTATCTATATGTATGTGTTATCTATCTATCTCTATCTATCTATCCATCCATCCATCTATGGAAAAATTATGTCTGTGTCCATGGGTCAAGCTTGGGACCATCATCCAAGTTGTCGATGTTCCCCCGGTCGCACCCACAAATCACTCCCGATACAAGCTCACTGGCTGAAGTTCTTGACAAAGAATCACCGAACTTGCCAACTTGTCATCCCCCAAATCCCTGTCCCAGTTTTTCTGCTGGTTTACCAGTTCAGGTGTCCACCGTTGCAGTAGTGTGAGACTTCTCCGGCCCCAAGTCAGAATGCCTCCATCGATTTGCAGCTTGATTGAACATGAACCGGCGTTCCATTGATTGATTCAGCGTTCCCCTTGCTATCAATCAATTCTTCATCTGTGCATTTTGATCGGATTCCTCGGCCACCGCACTGTGCATGGCTGCCAGCCTGTTGACATTGGAGCGAAGGTGCGGCGTGCGTCCAACCCCGGTGTGAGTGACGCCCTTCAGTCCACATGGGGCCATGGCCTACAGTTTAAAGGACATGAAACTCTTGGATAATAGGCAACAATCTGACAACATCTGACCGCTGCACTGAGAGCATTTGCAATCACCCATATAATATCGAAAATCATAGCACATGCATGCAACACGCTGTCTCTCTCGGAAGGTGCTGTCGCGGAGCCTTCCTTTTGCTCAGGCTGGTGCTCCGTTTCTCGCATGTGTAAAGGGCCCGGTGGCACTTGTGGGTGCTCAAACCACAGCGGCAAATCAACACAATTCACCACACAGCCCGACCAATCACTGCAGTCACTGCACGTTGCTACAAACGCCTACAAATGCGCACTGGCACACAGACAGCCACATTCCTTGCTTTCTACAAATATGCTCTGTGGGATGTCTTGGCACCAAAAGGTTCTTTTCTATACCCCAGAAATTGCCAGAACCCCTGCCCACACAAACTGCCAAAGCTACAGTACCAGGTCTCATCGATGCCCTTGCTTTTCCACCATCACCATCCCGCCTCTGGCGTATGCTGGTACCTTTTGCCTCAGACGATGGACTGATCGCACAGCTCCCTGTTTTCCACGAAAGCATAGCCTTCCACTGGGGTTATGGAAGCCACCACAAAGTGAACATTTATATCGTTTAGTGCGGCAGTCGGGCTGAAGATCCATGGCAAGCAAAAAAGGTGGAATGCATGGAAACGGTTAAAAGCTCGGGACGTCCGCAACTTCTGAAGAAGCATCCCATCAGGGGTCTGGGTCATCCCAAAACCGGGGAGGCCAAACAGGCCCAGTCTTGTGATAGTTGGGGTCCATGACCCAAACTCATCGTTGATCTTTGGTGCTTCCGTTGTGCCTAGCTGGTGATTGGACGGACCCACACTGTGGACCCACACACTAAACCATCACTAAACCCATGGCCCATCGCCATCTCAGCAGAACTGGTAGACTTGTTACTAGTAGCTTCTTGTTACTAGTAGTAAGGCCAGGAGCACCTAGTAGCGTCCTTGCTCCTAGTAGCGATGCTAGGAGCCCCTAGTAGCGAACCTTGTTACTAGTAGTATGGCGCCTTCTCGCCGCTTCGGACACATCGCACCTGGCGGGCACGAGGCAAACGCTTTCCGCGTGGTGGGGGCACCCTCGTTCTGAGTGTTCTGCTTGCGACGATGGCGAATGATGCTGAACAAGCTTTTGGAAGATGTCGGTGTCGCACAAATCCGGTGGATGATGATTTGTAGGCGGTCAGACTGCTATCAAGTGAGTTTGACTCCGGCACGTGGTGGGCAAAGAATCCGGTCCTTCAGTGGATTTTGGATGAGCTTTCTTGAAACTGGCAAATAGATCTCTGAGAAATTCTATGCCTGAGGTGTTGTTGGGCGGGCCCCCAACAAGGAACTCGTTGGACATCATGCACTCGCTACCAGGTGTCAAAAGACTGGAGAGGAACTGATTTACATGATCGGCCAACCCCAAAAAATCCAGCTGTCTTGAACATTTTCACACCTTGCAAATTCTTTGTACAATCCCCGCTGACAAGTTCTGAAACATCGAGTGCTTCCAGTAGTAACTCCACAGAGAAAATAATGTTCACCTTCACCATCCTACCACTGTATACCATCTGTTAATGTCGCGCAAAAGAAGACCATTGTAAACGATCACCAAACACATCCAGTACAACTATAAGTGCGACGACAAAACCTGGGTGCCATAACATCCAGGACCTAAAGGACCAAAAACCAACACAAAAAAAAGGAAGGACGACGCTACTAGGTGGATTAGGTTGGAGGCCATGGCCACTAGGAACAAGGACGCTGTGAAGGACATCGATGGAAAGCAAAAACCTCAAAATGGATGGGAACCCGAACGCTCCAAACATCCTGCAGGAACCGGCTCCAGCCACCTGGCCTCTCCATGCATCAGCACTTGCAAGCGGCTCTTGGGTGTCCTCGTCTCCCCCTCGCCGCAAAGGACTTCGCCACGCCTGGCTGCGACGGCATTGTTTTTTCGCCGAAGGAAGGTGTTGCTTATGAATGAGATGCGTCTCCAGGATCCCTTACCAGTCTTATCAGATCGGATTGTTTTCGTGATTGATATAGCATATTGGATCTGATTGGGCTCCTTGGATCTTCTCTATTTGTGATCAATGATACCATGATTGTCAACTAACTGTCCTGGGACCTTGGGCTTCTGTTGACTACAACATGGAGGTAGAGTCCCCCATCTGCACGAAAGGAATGTTCCTACCGATGCTTGTTTGACTGAACGGTACAAACCATCCATGACAAGCCGCTTCTGCCCCAAAAATATTTTGGACAACGCCCTCGCACAAACTTGTGCTAAGTAACAAGGGAATCGCTACTAGTAACAATTGCACTATTGGTAATAGCAAGAAGCTACTAGTAGCGATACATTTTTGCACAAACTCTACCCTGTACTCCATCCTACTCCGACTGCAGCAAGCCATCTTCGCACTTAAGCTCCCATGTGGACGCCTCAGACCTGTTTGGCCGATTTGGGTCCCTTAAGCTGTACCACCTCGGAAACCCCAGCACATTGAGGAATACTATATACCAAAAGAAGGTCTCTACCTAACCAACCAAGCTCCTTACTTTCTTACTTACTCACTCACTCACTCACTTACTTACTACTTGTTGCTACTTGTTACTACTTACTACTACCTATGAGCCCACTCCTCCTCCTGCTACTGCTACAGCTGCTATTACTACTACTACTACGACGACGACGACCACTACCACTACCACTACCACTACCACTACCACTACCACTACGACTACGACTACTACTAATACGACTACTAATAATACTACTACTACTACTACTACCACTACCACTACCACTACCACTACCACTACCACTACCACGACTACTACTACTACTACTACTACTAATACTAATACTAATACCAATACTGCTAGGTCACAACACCACGTTGACTGTGGCTAATTCAGCGATTTCGGCCGCAAAAGCTGCGCGAAATGACGATGTCTTTTTGGAATGTCTGAACGAACAAATTCGTTTTTGAGAAGCTAAGCGTTCTCCGGCCGCTATGGTTTTGCTGCCAGGTTCGGACACATCATGTCAGAATGTACAAACCTTCGCGAGAGCGGCAAGCGAAGGCCTTTCCGCAGCTTCTCACGGCGCCAACACCATTAGAACAGGCATTCTTCCAAGAGGGCATTCACTTTTGACCCGTCTGACTGCTTCTTCTTGACTTCTTTCGGCAAATTGTTTTTAACTGGCCCGGCTGCGGTCGATGACCTGTGTCCCTTGGGTTCGAGAGAGGCCTCGTGGTTTTCGAGGCATGTCTTCAGCGAAGACTTTCTGAGCACGCATACCTGGAAGCACTGGAGTTTACGTTGCGCAGCCGCACTTTTCCGGCCCTTCGCCCCACCACTATACAGAGCACAAGGACCTGTTCGCGCGACGCGGTCCAACAGCTTGCTACCAGCGACATTTGGGGAGGCCGGGCTTTTGGCTTCGTGACCTGCAGGGCAAGAGCAATTAGACTCAAAGTTTTTTCTGAGAACATATACTAGAAGACAGTTGGCGACAAAGAAACACATGAACAATTCGCCATTGCTCACCTTGGGTGGCAACATGGCAACCACCATCGGACCAGATCTTTGCGCCAAGCCAAATCCTTGCAGGTGCACAGGGTACGCTGACCATCCCCCGTGAGCTTGCCGCTCTAACTTCTGAATCTGGGGGTGGTGTCCTTTTCGCCCAAACCCGTCCCAACCCTGTCGCATCCCCTGCACCATTGGAACGGCGCGTCTAGCCTCTACAGTTTCACATGGCCCAGGCCCTGGCCCTAGAAAGGAAGGCAGCGTGACTTGCATGTGGTTTTGCAAGTCCGGAAACCGAGGTGCAGCACGGACAGCGTAGTCATAGACTGTTCCGACCAATGCCTGATTGCGTGCAGCATTGATGCACACCCGAAACGTTCGAGCTTTGTCCTCTTGGCCACACGCAGAAAGCTTGTCTGCCTCCGCGAATGCCAATTTAGTGTAATTATGGCTTCCAAGGCCACAACACGCAGGCTCTCTCTCTCACTCTCTTGCAAGCGCGTGTCTTGATACCAACAGCTGCAGCTACGTCTTTCAAGTACTTCATCTCCGTCTCCTCTGATGGAAACACTGTTATATGTAAAAGCGGTCAGGCCCGTGCGCGCAGAGGAGCACACGCACAGAACGTAGATATGTCCTGAGCACTTCAACGTGACAGAAATGGACACATGCTTGGAGGAACAGAGCAGGTAACCCCAATTGTTGCCACCACGGAAGTAAACCTCCCAGCTGCCGTCCCAGCATGGCATGGACAACGGTCGACTGCATCTCCGTCTTCATGCGGCCCAGCTGCAGAGCTGCCTCGTGCCACGGGCAAAGGACGCACAGGCCTCGAACTGTCAAATTAAAAAAGCACCTCCTAAGCACTAAAAAGCACCTTGTCACGCAAAACGATTCCTCTGAGATTCTCCAGCAGCTTCTAGGTCGATAATTATCATCAACAAAATACAAGACATTGATATTTCCAGCTCAAAAGCCGTGGAAAACTTGATGCTTTGAGAACTTCAAGGAACGAATCTTCGACGCAAGTCACCGGAGCGTACTCAGCCACATTGAAACGAGGCGGTGTTCGCTCTCGGTCATGCGGCATGATCGACCCAATGCTGCGGTCGAAAACAAAAAACATGATGGAATTTCGTAGAAGGAAGTGAAAATCTGGAAAATCTTCCGAATGTGATAACATCAAACAATGATGAACATGCGCCAAAAACCTACAGGCGACCGGCGACTTACGGCGTTCTCAGGTACTACTACTACTACTACTACTACTACTACTACTACTACTACTACTACTACTA